AAATTTAAAGCTTCTACATCATACAGGTCAAAAGATACAAGTCAACAAGAGTCAATAAAGGTCAAAATAGAAAATTGAAAATATGGAAATTTCAAAACCTGTTCCTTTTTTGGAACTATAAACCTCAACTTTTTTGTCAAAGGTTAATTTATATTCAAATTGTCTTGTTGTGATCCAAGTTTCAATGTTCTACATAAAATAGGTCATAAGATATATACACACCAAGCTCAAAGAAACAGAAATATTGTAAAAAAAAAACTCAAATTTGAAAAATTCACGAATTTCAATTTTGCTTTAAAAACGATTGTTATAAATCACTTGAAAGAGCATGAAAAGCATATTAAGAATCCGAAAAAATTAACCCTCTAGGTTAATTAGGTCACGTGCTAGAGCAGTCCAAAGTTGCGAATTTGACTGTTTTCGGTCAGCTATAAAACCGGAAGTACATGTCGGAGGTCAAATGTCAAAGTATTAACTGATAGCTAAGGTCAATGACCTTTGACCTACTAAGGTCAAGGTCATCAAAGGTCAAGGTCACGAGATACAAGCCTTCAAAAATTGAAAAAAATTCGACCGGAAGTTGCAAAAAAGCAAAAGTCAAATTCAAAAATCATTTTTGTAGCCATCGACTTAAGTATACACCAACATAAAAATTTGACCAATCCCATTTTCCCCCCCGAAGCCCCATTTTGAGTTTTATGAAAAAGTATCAAATCAAGATGGCTGCCGAAGTATTTTTTTCGGACTAAATTTTATTTTAAAATCGGCCATAGAATTAAGATTAATAACGATATACATAATTTCGTTGAAATATTTCAATCACACCGGAAGTTATTCAACCGGAAGTGAAAATCGATTTTCCACTTGAACCGGAAGTGACGCAAAAATTTTGAATACGTCAAATGGTTTACATTAGTGACATGCATCTTTTATCAAAATTTCAGATTAGTCCGAAAAAAACTGAAAAATGGTCCAAAAATTTTGAAAATCGGCCAAAAAATGTCTGCGACAAATTTTCGAATTTTGAAATTTTGAAACTGCTATTCTTTCAGATTTTAACAGTAGATTCCAAAAATGCAAACCCAAAGAAAATCGACCGAAAAATACGACTTCTAGAGCCGATTATCTATTCTTGCACATATTGAACTGTGGCGCTTCTGGTTTTGCAAAAAAGATCCAAAATATATTTATGCACATCGTCGCCTATATCTAAGGTTCGTGAATGTTGAATGGTTGCTGCAACTATTGTAGTCTAAGCTCAGGAAGGTGTGTAAAAATCGAAAAAAAAAAAAAAAAAAAAAAAAAAAAAGAATTGACATTTCGATAACAAACTGGGACTTTGCTGAAAGCAAAGTCCCACAACTAGAACCGTTATAACGGTACCAAAGCATGGCGCATCCAACCTGATACATCTATAAAACGTTTTAAAGTCACAATGGGATTTCTTACCGGAAAGAAAAGCATGTAAATGTCAATAGTAGAAAAAATCGTTTAAACCGTTTACCGTTCGGTAGTGAAAAGACGCATAAATTTGATACCATTCGGTACTAAAAGGTGTTAACATTCGGTAGTAAAAAGTCGAATTTTCAAATAGCTGTAAAGTTAAAAGTTCTATTCGCACAACAAAAATGAAAATATTTTTGGAAAGGTATATTTATTTGTGTTTCGGCCAAGAGGTCAACAGAGGTCAAATAAAAGAGAATATAAGCCTTAAAAGTGTTGAAAATTGCTGTTTTGGGACGTTTGTAAAAGCGAAAATATATGTCGGACATCAAAGATAAATGTATGAATGGATATCGTAGATCAATAACCTTTGACCTTCTAAAGACCAAGTTTATGCATGTAAATGGTCAAAATATAAAAATTTTATAAATTGTAAATCCTATTCCCTTTTTTAAAGTAAAAGGCCTAAACAAAATGTAACTCTATCAGATATTGTCCCAAATAGTGCTTTAATTTTTTGTAAAATTTCGAAGGTGAAAGATGCAAACTTTTTGAGTTATAACAATTTGAATTATTTATGGTAAAGGTAAAAGTAACCCGGATTTGCCACGCCCACTGCAAAAATTTTGTGTTGTCTGTAATAATGTGTACAATGTCAAATAATGTTCAAAATTTCAAGTGTTTACAATCATTAGATCATGAGATATTCGTAGTTAAAAGTTTTTTTAAGGCAACGGTGACTGTCGGTGGATTATAGAAACCGTTAAAATTACGCAAAGTTACTATAGAAGTCAATACAAAATTTTCAAATTCAATTTTAATCAAAATACCAAGTGTTATATATCATTTGAAAGAATAGATTGCGTGTAATAAGGACAAAAGATAAATTTTAGCTTATGTAAATTAGGTCACGTGATAGACCTTTTTTTTAAAGTTAAAAATCGCGATTTTCAATTGGCTGTAGAACCGGAAGTTAACGGAGCACGACAAAAGTGAAAATATTATCGGATATATCTCGTAATGGGCAACAACCATTGTTCAGGTCAAAAGGTCAACAAAGGTTAAATAAAAGTAATATGAGCCTTTGAAGTTTCGAAAATCGCTGTTTTCGGACGTCTGTAAAAACGGAAGTATATGTTGCACATCAAAAATCAAAGTAAGAATGGTCATCTTAGATCAATGACCTTTGACCATGCAAAGGTCAAGGTCATTTACGTAAAGTTCAAAAATGAAAATTTTGAAAATTGTTAAACCTATTCCCTTTTTTAAAGTAAAGAACGCAAACAACTGTAATCTTATCACAAATTGTCCTAAGCAGTGATCTACTTTAATGCAAAATTTCTAGGATGACAATTGCAAACATTGCGAGTTATGACAATTGCAAATATTTCAGGTAAAGGTAAATGCCCACCGAATGTGCCACGCCCACTTCAAAAAGTGTGATATATCGCCAAAAAGGAGAGATCATGCACTCTAAGAATATATAAGAAATTTTGTTATATGTTAATTAGGTCACGTGACAGAGCTCTTCAAAGTTAAAAATCGCGATTTTCAAATTGCTGTAGAACCGGAAGTTAACAATGCACAACAAAAGTGAAGATATTATCGGATATATCTCGTAAGGGGCAACAACTTTTGTTCAGGTCAAAAGGTCAACAAATGTCAAATAAAAGTAATATGAGCCTTTGAAGTTTCGAAAATTGCTGTTTTCGGACATCTGCAAAACCGGAAGTATATATCGGACATCAAAGATCAAAGCAAGAATGGTCATCCTTAGTCAATGACCTTTGACCATGCAAAGGTCAAGGTCATTCATGTTAAAGATCAAAAATGAAAATTTATATAATTGTTAAACCTAATCCCCTTTTTTAAAGTAAAGAATGCAAACAACTGTAATCTTATCACAAATTGTCCTAAGCAGTGATCTATTTTCATGCAAAATTTCTAGGGTGACAATTGAAAACTATGAGAGTTATAACAATTGCAAATATTTCAGGTAAAGGCAAATGCACACAGGATGTGCCACGCCCACTTCAAAAATTTAAATTTGTCTGTGATGCTGCTACATTGTTAAATTTCAAGTCTTTACAATCATTAGATCATGAGATATTCGTAGTTAAACTTTTTTTTAGGGCTGTCGGTAAATTATAGACACCGTGATTTTACGCACAGTTACTATAGAAGTCAGTACAAAATTTTCGATTTTTAAAACGCGCAATTTTGATCAAAATATCAAGTATGATATATCACCAAAAAGGAGATTTTATGCACTCAAAGAATATATAAGAATTTTTGTCGTATGTTAATTAGGTCACGTGACAGAGCTCTTCAAAGTTAAAAATCGTGATTTTCCAATGGCTGTAGAACCGGAAGTTAACGATGCACAACAAAAGTGAGGATATCATCGGATTTATCTCGTCAGGGGCAACAACTTTTGTTCAGGTCACAAGGTCACCAAAGGTCAAAGTCACTAGATATGAGCCTTAATATTTTTGACAATTACTGAAAACATAAAACCGGAAATATAAAAAATACGAATCCAAAATTAAAAAATCGGCTTCCTAAGTTTTGTTAGCAATCGATTGCAGATTCTTTAGACACCAAAATCACACAAATCAGATTTACCCCTGAAGCTTAATATCGATTTTTACAAAAATTGGTCACATCAAGATGGCGTCTAACCAATACTTCCGGTTCAAATTTTTTCATTCCAAAATTGTTATAGGGACAATTTTAACTAATTTCAAAAAGAATTTTTCAAATACCTACAAAATTCCGGAAGTTGAAATTTCAAGTTTAGAGGCGAATGACGTCAAAACCGGAAGTGATATCGAAATTTTGAAAATAGTTTTTTGTTAGGAATCAAAATGCTTATCTACTATTAAATTTTTAGACCAATTGAAATAAAATTGTAGAAGTTGAAAAAAACGCTAAAATTAAAACAAAAAAAGTCAGCGACAAAAGTCAAAATCTGAAATTTTATAAAGTGCTATCTTTTAGTCATTGGTTTAAAGTAATGAACAAAAACAAAAGTTACGGTAAAAAAAGATGCAGAATTAGAGCAGCAATTCGAAATACGTAATGAATGGTTAACGTCATACGTCATTTTCGGTTGGAAGAAAATGCGTCATTTTACATTTAAACAGTAGTGACATGCAAAGTATAAGAAATAATAGTGTCAGACAATGTGTGACATGTGCAGTTTTGGCTGGGGAGCGTGACCAGAAGTAGACAAAAAAAAAAAAAAAAAAAAAAAAAAAAATAATAGTCATTTGCAAAACAATGCAGTAGCAAAGTCCCACAATAACCAAGCTTAATGACCATTGACCCTACAAACGTTAAGGTCATCAAAAGTCAATGTCAAAAAATTAAAATATGGAAATTCTAAAACCCGTTCCTTTTTTTGAACAATAAAGCTGAAACAACTGTCCTTTAAACACAATATGGCCAAAGAGATGAGGTATTTGTGTGCAAAGTCCCTTATTGAACGAATGTAGACTATGCCCCTGCCCCAGATTTGAAGAATTAGTAATTTAACCCGGATGTGCCACGCCCACCTGAACTTTTTTGTCATGATTTAATTCATTTTCAAAATGTCTAGTAGTGTTCCAAATTTCAAGCTTCTACATCAAATAGGTCACAAGATATACATACACTACGCTCAAAGAGACAAAAATATTGTAAAAAACACTCAAATATCAAAAAAGTACGAATTTCAATTATGCTTTTAAAAACTTTTGTCATATATCGTTAGAAAGAGTATGAAGAGCAAATTAAGAATCCGAAAAAATCAACCCTCTAGGTTAATTAGGTCACGTGCTAGAGCAGTCCAAATTTGCGAATTTGGCTGTTTTTGGACATCCATAAAACCGGAATATAGATGTCGGAGGTCGAAAATGAAAGTATCAGCTGACAGCTGCAAAAAAGCAAAAGCGAAATTCAAAAATCGGCTCCAACAGTTTTTTTTTAATTTTTATTTTCTTTCATTTGACACCAAAATCATCAAAATCGGATAAGCCTGAATAGATTCTGACGCATTTCAGAAAAATCAAAATGGCGACCAAAGTATTACCTTCGGACCGGATTTTATATTCTTCGATTTTTGGAATAACTTTGGCTATCGATTCATATAAGTTTCGTCGCGCTAAATTAATTACACCAGAAGTAGTTCAACCGGAAGTGAGAATCCATTTCCCGTTTAAACCGGAAGTAAAGTAAAAAATTTGACTATACCATTTTGTTCACGTTCATGAATTGTCTTTGCTCAAATTTTTTTTAGATTAGGCCATACCAAAATAATTTTCTGTTCTTCGGGATTTCTTGAAAAAAAAAAGGTACGAGCGAACGAAATTTTTTTTTTAATTTTAAAAAAAAAATTTCTAAAAGTTAATAATCATTGATTTGGTTGGTGCGATATAATATTTTTTAATTTTAAAAAAAAAAAAGTCCCTTCGTACCATTAAAATTTTCCAGCATGGATGATTTTGAATGTATTCAGATAAAATAACAATTTATAGTATTTATTTATGGTGTAAAAAATAACAATAAAAAATAATAATAGGTGTCAGTGTTGCGACCATACATGGAAAGCTCAAACATTTTGTTAAATCTGCAGAATAACATTCCAGCTTACTCACACTCAAGGTGGGCGCTTTCTTATGCAACTCAATAACACGATTGTAGCCTTGAAAGGCTTCAAAACATTTTGGTATGGCACAACTAGCTGTTTTAAATTTGTCATGGTGCGTATCGACATACCACAAAAAATTTGTAATCTTCCACAAAATTTCTTTTGTCTTTTGTCTTTTGACCAGCCATCATCAATTGTTTTGCACCAATCTAGCACATCACAAAATAGTTTTTGAGGTCCAGTTAAGGTTTTGTCAAAGACTGGTGGTGTAGGTTTTTCAGGAAACATAAAATAATATCTTTCTTGATGCCATCATAAAATCGAACACATTTTTATCACTTTTGGAAGTATTACAAACAGGTTCTTCAGACGAAGAATGAGAAGGCAAGTTAATCAAAAAGTCCACAAACTTGGATTTCAGTTCATCACACAGAGAAATTTTCAATGAAAGTGTAACCAAGACACCGCCTGATTTTTCCATATTGTCCTGCAGATGCCAGATCATAAACATCTTTAGAAGTGTTTTCAGGCTCAACATCAAACACCATGTATGGCAAAATAAGTTTCTGGTGTGACCTAAAATCATTTTGGTAAAAAAGACAAATACAAATATTAATTCTAGCACTGCATCGGCCATTCCTATTTCTGATATATAGGGCGCAATTTGTTACTCCTGCTACCAAATTCTAGGCTTAGAGAAATGAAAATGAAACTAAAAATGAGAGCTAAACAATCGTTAAAAATTCTTTTTTCAAAATTTTACATACGGGAGCTCTTTTGATACATACGGAATATTATTTTTTAATTTTAAAACGGAAAATCGGGTACCATATCAGAAATTACACGTAGATTCCAGAAATAAAAACCCGAAGAAAATCTACCGGAAAATCCGACTTTTAGGTCCGATTTTCTACTTTTTGCACATATTGGACTGTGGCATTTCCAGTTTTGCAAAAATGTTCCTATTTATATTTATGCAACACATTGCCACTACAGAAGGTATAGGAAAGTTGAATGGTTGCTGCAACTACTGCAGTCTAAGCACAGGAAGGTGTGTAAATTTCGAAAAAAATAAAGAATAGACATTTTGATAATTTCAGCAAAGTCCCACAAAAAGAAAAAATAGAATTGACATTTCGATAACAAACTGGGAATTTGCAGAAGCAAATTAAGCAGGTTGTCAATCAGCCCTTATGTATGATGTAGCTTAAACAATTATTTACACTTTATTTCAGTTGGATGAAGTTATGTTTCATGGTTAATCCAAGTGGTAAAATACCAGTTCGAAGGTAAGGAAATCCTAAAATTTATTTTCATGGAAATTGTATAGTATAGGTTTCTTGTTTAACTGATTCAGTTCACAAATTAATGTTTTTGAGGTTTTTATATGCCTACATTGTAATGTGGTCGTATATTGTTGTTGCCCCAGTCTACAATTGGCTCATCCGATTTAATGAAATTTGGTGTTATCATTTATAATGACGATATCTTAGTCAAGATTTTCGATCAAAGGAATTTGAGTTATTGCCCATGACTTAATAGAAATGCATCATAATTTGTTGGCTTGCGTGAGAGGTGACAGTTTATGTCAGAATTTTATTCAATTCTTCTAACGCCCTGCTTTGTTTTTTTTTTCTTTACCCCGAGATCTCAGTTCTCGGAAACAACAACAGGTATGGGGAAACGGATTTAACCACATTTTCTGACTTGTGGTGAACTGTGTACTGAATGTAAAACTAAAATTTTCTGAGCAACATGAAGCGACGTTAGCAAAAAAACAGAGTGTGGGCTCTAGTAGGTGTATTTATCGAGTGATTTTGCTCAGGTTTCCTTTTCTGTACTTCTTATAACAATGAACACATGATGGCAGTTGAAAAAAATTGATTTTTTGTTTTTTCTCCGACCAAATTTTCACAGGACCTACCGTTTTCAATGTCCTACCATAAATCAACAAAATATCTATCATTACTTGATTGCCGGTAACATGCGTTAATCTCATCACTTATTAATTTTATCATTGCCTGATTAATTAATCCCCCAATTAAGATGGTAAATTTGATCTATTTTTACCCAATAATGTGTATATTTTAAGCCCATGTGAAACACTTTTTATAACAACAACCGGTAGATTCTACTAAATACTAAACTAGTGTCCAAAAGAAACGATACCAACTTATTTTCAAAATTGTTTTTTACTAAGTGAATTGTCTAATATGAAAACATGCCAATTCGTATTGCACATCCCAAACACAGCATAGTCGATAAAAATACCGGGAACACGTGATCACTTCCGGGAAAAAACGTAAATTTCGTGAAAGTGACATTTCCCTGTCTAGCATGTTCTGCACGTGCATAAAAACTGTATAAAATGGCTGATAAGACACGTTGATATCACAGCAACAAAAAGAACACAAGATATGCCACTTTTGACAGCCATCGAGAGAGAGAGAGCCGTTGGAATGGTCCAACAAGGAGCGACACACGTCAACGTCGTCAGGCTGCGCACGCATCACTATCACCAGGTTGATGCAGCGGTTATGTCAGACAGGTCAGACGTCAGACAGGCCCAGGAGTGGAAGACCACGAGTAACCACGCTCCATTAAGTTCGGTACATCCGGGTATTACACCTGAGGAACCGCACCGTAACAGCGACGTCCACGGCGGCTACAGCACTGGGACACAGGATCAGTCGACAGACCATCTACAGGAGACTACGGCAGTATGGTATCCGGCCACGTCATCCCTACCGCGGATCGCTCCTGACGCCTCAACACCGGAACAACAGACTGATCTGGACCAGGCGAGTTCGACGTTGGCAACGGCGGGACTGGGCACGTGTTATGTTCTCTGATGAGAGCAGATTCCTCATCTTCAAAAACGATGGACGGCAGCTTGTATACCGACGATTTGGTGAACGTTTGGCGCCTAACTTTATCCAACAGGTCCGGTCGTTTGGAGGTGGAGGTTTAATGGTTTGGGGTGGCATATGTGGTGACGTCAAAACGAGGCTTGTCGTAATTCGTGGAAACCTGAATGCACAGCGTTATATTGATGACATCCTACGGCCTGTTGTGGTGCCCTTTATTCAGCAACAGCCTCGTAGACTCCTTTTCCAACATGACAATGCAAGGCCACACACAGCAAGATTGACACAGAACTTCCTTGCCAACGCCAACGTACAGGTTTTGCCATGGCCCGCATGTTCACCGGACATGAATCCCATCGAGCACTTATGGGACCACCTCGATCGGCAAATCCGACTTTGCCGTGTGCCTCCAAATCAACGTCCAAGACTTGGAACGATGTCTTCTCGAGGAATGGCAACGAATCACTCCCAACGTCATCAGACGTTTGACGGCATCAGTCCGTAGGCGTGTTCTGGCATGTATTGATGCTCACGGTGGACATACCCGCTATTGACTTGACTTTGTGACGTGTGGTGTGACATTTCCCGTTGTTTCTGTGATCAGTGCTCTAACGAAATTTTCTTTTTTCGACCCCACCCATCTTTAAAGGCTTGTCATATTGGTTGTACAGATTTTATTGAAATGAAATTTTTGTACAGATGTTGTGAAAGGATTTCTCAAAAGCATAACACCAATCCTAAACTTCTGCATTGTTTAGTTTTTCTTTTATGTCGTTGCAAACAGGTGGTATCGTTTCTTTTGGACACTAGTTTAGAAACTAGATACTAAAATTTAATGTAGCCCTACTTTTACTATAAAACGAATGTAGCTGATGTCTAATTGTTATGTAAACTCAAACTTCGGTTCATAAAAACGTTTTGTAATTTTACTGTAACCTGTAAAAATTCATTTATTGCCTGCACAACGGGTTATTTATAGACGTCATTGGGCTTACTTATTACAGTTCTTTCATTATCTCAAGAGTGTCAAAATGGAAGTGGCAAATTTGGTTCAATACTTTGTGAGAGTGTTGCAGGAAAATTATTTAATGATCCGACTGGAGATATTCTATATGTCATGAATTACACCTTTGGAAAAAGTAACATCACCAGTACATATTGTTTACTAAATAATGCTTTCAGAACATAGGCTTACTGATTTTTTAATATGGTACTAGTATTACATGTATGATGTAGTCCTACCTGTACCATTTAAATTAGAGGGCTGGGATCATGCTTGCTTTCTTGTTTTCAAACATCATTTCACCATGACATTATTTTTGGTTCAATCAATACTGAAGATATTGAATTATTTTGGGTCCCTTAAGTGTAAATACCAGGCACTATTTCTAGAATTATTTTGCCTGGACAGGCCTATCCCTAATTATATGTTTGTTTATTTTTACTGTGTCATGTAGGCTAGGATAAATTTAATTAATTTACAAGGCATAAGGATTATTTAGAAAAGAAAAAAAAAATAAATTTTGAGTTTCAAATCACGAATTTATGCGCTTTGGAAAAATCTCCCCCCTTTCACCCATATCCAGATTTTTCAGGGCAAATCACCAGATATTTTTTCCTGACCTGTACACATGTATTCTCATTTTGCGAAAATTCCTATTCGGAAGCCATTTTTTATCCAATTTGTGTAATTTTGGTATCAAACGATACAATAAATGTTTGTCTACAATTCATGGGAAGCAAAAGATTGATTTTCGGCTTTGCCTTTTTTGTACAACCAGATGTTTTTTTTCAATATTTGAAGATGTGTATCTCAAATTTCATTTAAAATGGATGAAAACTGTAGTCTCTATTGTATTCACAAACAAATTTTGACACATTTTTTCCTAAGTCAAGCACAACAACTCAAAAAGGTTTATCAAACGATCGTCAAATTCGAACTTGTCTAAGATCTCACTATTATAATTGATCACACCAAATTTCATTAAAATCAGTTGAAAGCTGTAGTCTCTATTGTGTTCACAAACAAATTTTGATATATTCATGTGGGCGTATAAAAATCAAATTCTAAATTTGATAGAAATATTGAATTCTTCCAAACTTGGTCTTAGTTAATTGACAAACATTCTTTTGTTCTTAGTCAATATACTGTCAACTTCTGGTCAAGCTCCCTAGCCAAAACTGCACATACCACAGGCTATCTGACTCAATTATCTCTCTTGTCTAGCGTGTCGCTAGGGTTATTGTTTAAATGTACAATGACTCATCTTCGCCCAAATGGAAATGATGTAGGACGTTAACCATTCATTACATCTTTCTCTAATTCTGAATCTATTTTGATCATAATTTTTGTTTTTTTCATTACTTTGAACTAATGTGTAAAAGATAGCAATATAAGAAATTTCAAAATTTGACTTTTGTCGCTGACTTTTGGAGATTTTATTTGGAGCATTTTTTTTTTTCTGATCGATCTGAAAATTTACATGTAGATAGACATTATGATTGCGAACAAAAATCTGCTTTCAAAATTTAGATATCACTTCCTGTTTTGATGTCATTAGCCTCCAAACTTGAAATATCAACTTCTGGAATTTCGCAACATCAGTAGTGGTACCCGGTAGAACCTTTTTAAGAAGGCTTTATGACCTTACTCTCAATATTGTAAAACTGTTTCATGTTTCATGTTTCATTACTTTGACTAATGCTGCCCACTTGGATATACTGGCTTGGGAGACATTTATACTGGAATTTAACAGACGGTGCATGTTTTTAAGAGATAGTTGGGCTGACTCTGACACCTTCAAATTGTACATTGACGCGGCCACCACTAAGGGATTTGGAGCTGTGTTAGGTTCAAATTGGTTTGTTGGCAGATGGTCTGAAAGTATGTCTCTCTATAGCATTAATGTACTGGAACTCTTTCAAATTGTAGTAGCAGTTGAGCACTGGGATCATTTGTTGAGGAATCAAAACGCAACTTCAAAATGCCCAGAATGACAAATTCTTTGTGCTCCTCCTCTTGTCCCAAAGCCCAATTAAAAGAGAATACATTGGAGGATATAGGTCATTTATTCAAAAACATTAAATGACGAAATTTTTTAGAATAATTTCATAAACTGTCTAGAACCTAAACTTGTGTTTGGGCTTAACACGTGAATAGTAAATAGCCAAACACATTCATCATTGTATACAAAGAATACAATTGGAATGTCTGGCCCAACACAAGAAACATATCCTCCAATGTAAAGGAACTTATAACATTAAACAACCACTTATAAATATGTTAATTCATTAAATTAATACCAACTTTGAAATCAAGAAGGGAAATACCGTGAAAAATTCAAATTAAATAGAAAAATCGGTGCGAGTGACTGACTAAGAAAACAGGAACGATCACTCACCAGTCTACACTGGCCAGAATG